GATGGTCTTCGTTGGGGGTAGGTGGGAGAAGTCAGTTTCTGAGGCTTTAAGGTGTGACTTAAAAAATGAATTCTCATTTCTTGTCCTAACTGAGGTGTCTGGGGGTGGGGGGGGGTAGAGGGGGGCGGGGGGGTTGCTGCATAGGGAAGGGATGGGAGGCAGACAGAAAGCCTCTTGGAGTCTAAGCTCGGGATAGGAAAGGAGGGGAGGGGTTGGCAATGCGGGGTTCAGGATGGGGCCAGCAGGGGCATACAGCAGAGGAAAACCAAGGCCTTCAGAGACTCATCAAAGGAACTGCTGTGTGAAAGAGGCGACCTTGGAGGGGTCACCCGGGTTCATACTGCCTGGAGAGGGATGAAGGCCAGAGGGGGAGGGGCCAGGGCCGGGCTGAGGGGCGGGACAAGGCGAGGGCCAGTGGGCTCCAGCAACAGCTTCCTGTCCAGCTGCAGGCAGGCGCAGCTCCAGGAAGGCTCTCTTCTAGGGAGATGCTCTGTCCGGGCCCCTTCTTTGGGAGGAAACAAGGCTCCTCCGCCACCCCACCTCCATACTCTCTGTTCTGCACTAGTGGCTAAAACCAGGTCTCTGAGTGAGAAGGACTCTACCCTAAGCCATGACACACCCCCGCCCCCCCCCAGACCTTTCCTATACTGGTCCCACCCCGGGGGTCTCTCTGGGTTGCTGCTGCTCAAATACTGCCCAGGTCATGGAGGATGCTGCCTTTGTGCTATTTCTGTCCCTATCTCCTCCTTTATGACTCGAGTTCCAATACTTGGAGAGGGAGTCGGAGAAGGGGTCCCCCTTTCCAACTCCTTCCTGAATCCACTCATTATCCAGTAGGAATTTCAGAGGCCTCTATGACCTCTCCCCTCCCAGTTCCAATAGAGGCTTCCAGAGTCTTCTCTGTTTTGTCCTCAAAGTGTGTTCCCAGGATTTTCACTGACCTGCCCCTTCAGCGTGTGGGTCTGGCGTCTCTGTCACCACTCTGGACACCCCTCCCCCAGCCTCAGAGCACTCTGAATCCTCAGTCCTCCCCCATTCCAGTGTGAGCTCCCACACCCTCCTCAGGGCACTCCTAATGGGAGGAAGCCCAAGAAGAAAGGCACTTCTGAGGGGGTGAAGGGGGGCAGTCATGGCTCATGATGGGAGGGACTACAGCTTCTAGTCGGGCAGGGCCTAGACCTCTACTCTCAACCCCTCCTCTCAACTAAGGGGGCCACTGTGAGCTAGAGGGGGATGGGAGGGGCAGGGGAGGTGGGGGAACTGCTCTCGTGTTGTTCTTGGCTTGGAGCCCCCAGCCCCAGGGAAATCCTGACTCTGTGGAAAACTGAGCAGGCAGTCAGGCAGTGGAGGAGGAGTTGGAAGAGGAAGAGGAGGAGAAGGGGGAGGAGGACCAAGAGCCCGGGTGGGGGGGGGGTTGGGGCTCCTCTCATAAATCAATCCCACCAGCTCTCAGGCCTGACAAAAACCAGAGACCCGGGGTCCCTTGGGGACTGGGGCAGGGAGGAGGGCATCGACCCTCTGATGGGTTTCAGGGAAGCAAAGTCTGAAATGAGGGGCAGCATCCAATTCAGAGGGCCCTGCTGCAAGCCCCTCCCCCCCACCAAATAACAGGTGCATGTCGTGGGAGAGGACCTAGAAAACAGCTTCACAATGAGGAGCTGAACCAGGATGGTTGGGGCAGACTGAAGCGGGTGGGCTCAGGGGGTATGCCCACTTCTTGGCCGGCTATTCAAAATTTTTTTTATGGCCATGAACTCTGGCTTGGTTTGACTTCTGAAAGACTGTGTGACTTCAGACAAGTGCTTCACCTCTATAGGCCTCAGTGTCCTCAGATGGTTGAGGGTGTCAGGTAGGCACAGTCCCACTCTGGGGCTCCTGACACTGCACTACAGCCTGTCTCAGTGCTTGTAAGAGGAGAGAATATTCCCCTGGAGCTGGCAGGACTTTGTTGCTTAATAATTGTGGCCTTGGTGGGACACATAACTTTTCGGCTCCTCAGTTTTTGCATCTGTCAAATGGGTATAAGAATTTGGCAGCAGTGTTATTGCAGTGAGTGAGATAACCTGTAATTACCTGGCAGGTGACTGGTATGACTATCTCTATTAAAGATTGTTGTTTATTCTGTGTCCGTTCCTTGGGTGTTTTCTAGTCTCTCTTGGTCTTCCAAGGATTGCCTCTTTCTTACAATACTCAAGTATTAATTAAATCAAGTTACTTCTGCTTCCAAACTCAGGACACAGAAGTCCTTCAAATCCACCCCAGCAGTATTTCCAAAGATTGAGATGTCTGAGCATTCCCTGCTTTCACATACCTCCTGCCGAGACTAGTATTGTTACAGGGCAACCCCGATATGAAGTGGGTATGGGTCCTCACCTGAGCGCTTAAACTCACCTGCAAAAAAGGGTCAATAAAGGATTTATTTACAAAAGGAAAAATGAAGAAGGAATAACCTGGGAAGAAAGAGAGAGAGATATATTGGTGAATGCATCGAACCAGTTTTGCTGAGCTGGAACCCCAACAGCACAAGGAAGGCAGGCAAAAAGCCAACAACCCCCAAGACCCACATGTCTGGTTATACATCAAGCCTGGCTGCTTAACTCCACCCTCAGTTCCCAGCAATCCTCCCTTCAGTGGTGATGACCTCATAGGATTTGTAGCCCTTGGTGCTATTACAGGGCAGGGAGAGGAGGACCACTGAACCCCTAAACTTGTCTGCTCTAAATAGGCTCTGCCATCTGCTGCATCAAGACAAGATGTAAGAGCTTTAATGGAAAGGAACTTTAATACAATGAGTGTGCAATTCCGAAAAGACAAAGAATATAATTTCTAAATCAAGCACCCCAAGTTACCCATCCCCTCGTGGGTAAAAAAACCACCCAAAAGGGATTGGCCCAAAGCAAGGCCTGAAAGCCCTCCACGAGCCTAAAGCATCTTTTGGCTGGAACCCATAGAAAAGGGTCAGAAATGGCCAGACAAGTCTGGGAGGAAAAGAGCAAAATCAAATCAAGATAAAAGTTGCCATAGTGAACCTCCCCAGAGGTCTCTCACCCACATCTGTTAACCAGTCCAGGACCCAAAGCAAGCATGGTTTCTTCACATGCTTCCATGTGGCTCCCTCAGGTCTCCTTCTGGTTCTCCACCCTGCTTCCTTCTCCCCCAGTCTCCTTTTCAGATTCTTCTTCTCTGCTCAGCTCCAACTTCCTTTTAGATGGGGCAGGGAACCCAGAACTTCCCCTTTTCCTGGGGACCACCCAGTTACAGTGCCTTAGAGCTCGTTGGTCTTGGGTGGGGGTGGGTCTATAAAACCTGTGTTTGTGGGTTCATTCAGGGCATCCTTTCCTCCCCAACAGTATCCTCCTGCACTGTCACCCCCTCAGCCACTGCTCCACATAGGACACCTGAACTTGGGCTTGTGCCTTGTGGACTATCGCCAAAGGTCTGGCAGTGGGAGGAGGATACAGCCAGCACAAGGCAATCAGCCTGTGACCTCAAATATCAGCTGTTGCCTCCTAATTAGCCCACTCATCATGCTAGCCACTGGCCATTTCCTGCACAAGTCCAGCATGGTCATTTTCTCAGCAGTGCCCCAGCCACTCGTCCAACTGTCTATTACTGCTCTTCACTCCACCCCAATCCAGATTCCTGTGGGTACTGACAGAGCCCCTCAGCACCCCTTTGTGCTGTCCTCTGGACACTGCTGGAGCTAGGCCTAACCCGGTTTCAACCAGATCCTCATTTTTTTTTTTTTTTTGAAGATTTATTTATGTAAGCATACAGAGCTGGGGTACAGGTGTCAGAGGTGCAGGGGTGTTAGAGGATTCACCAGAGACACAGTGGGGAGCAGAACAGGCAGATCTACGAAGTACACTGCTGAGGGGAGCAGTAGGCGGGTCAGGAGAGGTCTGCCTCGCCATGTGGTCACCTCCGGGGCAGGAGGGAATTGAACTCATGCTGAAGTGGCTTTAGCTTCTCAGTGCTGTGCTTTAACTCACTGCACCACCAGGGAGGGCCTGGATCCTCATTTTGATAGATGGAGATATTTCAGTTGGCAAACAAGGCCTACTTTTGAGGTACATTCTGTTCCTCTGAGAGAATGCTGAAGGGCAGCAGTGTGTTTATTTCTAAGAAAGTAATGTCTTTGCAACTATATTATATTACTATTTCGCAGGAAAAGAACTTTGGCTAGCTCCTGAAAGGACTCATCTCCTGCTCTTGCAAGGACTCATCTCACTTGGGTTGCCCCAGGATGTGGAGGTTCCCGTCAGGTCAGCTGAGAATGTCTAGACAGATAATTTCTCAGACAGCTGGATCCCTACTCGGCAACCTCCACGATAGCTGGGCCCCCAGCCTCTGCTTGACCTCCTTACCTCACAAGGCAGCCCTTGGCTAGGTAGCTGAAGTGACTGAAAATTAGAAATGGAGAAGCATTTATTGCTGGGCCCTCTGTGTGAGTGAAGGGTTGAGGGAGCACAGTTGTGGATGTCAAGGCAGGGTGCCTATTGAAAGGGGAAGCCCTCAACCCCAGGTGACAGGCTCAGGCGTGGGATGTAAGGGATAGGGTTTGAGTCTCTGCTCTGCCATTAACACTGTGGCCAGAGGGAGTCCATTTATTCCTTGGGCCTCAGTTTCCATAGTGTAAACTTTACAGGCTAAGCTTGGGGACTTTAAGGGCCCTGCCTCTGGCAACGACGGATGTTCTTCTGAGTGGATGAATGGCTGGCACAGAGGGATCAGGTCTTGGTCTATGGGGGCCGGGCTGCTCTAGAGTGGTCAGAGAATGGGCCCTGTGTAGGATGGGACAAGGTTCTCTTTCATTTCGTGAGGCCTTGGCAACAACCCAGGGCCCACAGACTCTCCCTCCCGCCAGGGTCAACCTGACCCTGACCTGGGGGCCACAACTGCCTGGGGCCATTGAGGTCAGGAAGTGATGGTTTGGGAGAAGGAATGCAGGGGAGAGGTTCAGATTCCTGTCCTCCTACTGGGGTGAGGGTCTGAGCAACTGCAGCTCTGTGACTCATTCCTGACAGTGACAGGGAGCTGTACATGGACTTCGTGGTCTGGAAAGCCCTCCACTGGCCTTGGCATCAGACAAGTCTGGTATGGAATCCTGACCTGCTACTTACTAGCCCAGTGACCTTGGGCAAGTCATTGACGATTCTTCGTCTGGAATCAGGAACTCTAATTTTTATCTGGCATGGTTGCTGGGAAGAGGAGCCTCCCAAGTTAGCATCATATGCACAACATGAGCTCTGTGCAATGTGGCTGTGATGATCTTTATCAGAGACCCAGGTAAGACAGACTGCCCTCTTCCTGCTGCCTCAGTCCTCTGTCTCTTGGTCTATTTGTCTATCAGAGCATTGGGGGTTTCCAATTCTCAGGCCCTAAAATCTATACAATTTAAAGTAGTCAAAACAAAACCCCCACTCCATTGGTGCTGAGAGGGAACAAGCTCCTGGCCCGGCCTAATGGGTTCCAGGTGTGCTCTGTGCCCTGCAGCGGCTGAAGCAGCCGTGGTGGCTGTGGCTGTGACTCTGCCCAGCTGGCTGGGAGTGCTCAGCCTGGACAGATCTGTCCAGTCCCTCTAGCCTGGGAAGAGTGTAGCGCTGGGCCAGGCCCTCTCCGGGCCAGAGGGCTAGCCAAGCCGGCACTCAGAGAGCAAGCCTGGGGTTCACAGCCGGGAGGTACTGTGCCCACGCCTACAGCATGCATGGGCTGCTTAGTCTTCCCCTCCTCTTCCTAACTAGCCCAGTTAATGCTGAGCACCTAATGTGTGTCCTGCCTTGATCTCAAAGGACTTCTGGGATGCTGAGATGATTTCCACAGACCCGTAAAACTCCTTCTCACAGGAGGTCGGCTGTGGGAGTAACCTCCCAGAGAGGCTGAAGGAGCCAGGTGGGAGCCCAGAGGGCATGAGTGAGGTTTCTTTTATTACCATTATATATTAATTAGCATGTTATATAATCAGAGTGACAGCCGTCATTTATTAATGGCAAGCCACAGGCCAGGTAACGTACTGGGTGCTTTCCGTACATGGGGACATCAAATTCTCACAGTAGTGCATGGGATAGCTCTTGTGATCTCAGAGAACAGGGAACTGAAAGCTCAGAGATACCAAGAGCCTTGCCTGAGTGGACATAGAAAATGACTGAGTGGTGGGTCTCCCTGGTGGTGTAAGGGGTTAAAGTACAGCACTATGAAGCTATCTGCAGCTCCTGCATTGGGTTTGATCCCCAGCGAAGGAGCTGACCCACATGGCACAGCAGACCTCTCCTGTCTTGCCGGCTGCTCTCCTCAGCAGTGTATTGCAGTTGATCTGTTTATTCTGCCTCTGGTGAATCCTCTCACCTCCCACACCTCTAGCCTATACCCCAGTTCTTGTATGCATAAATAAAGAAATCTTTAAAAAAAGAAAATGACTTAGTGGCACCTGAGCCCTTAACCTTGAGGTTAAGGCCTATTGACCATCCTGGTTAGGGCCTATTTATACCCTTCCCATGAAGCAGAGTAGGGAGGGATTTCTCTCTGGATGATGCCAGAGGCTCAAATAAGCATCATTTGTTCATGCTGCCCCCTCCACCAACCCAGCTCAGCCCTGCCCCAGTTCTCCGGCCTCAAGCTTCAGCGCTGACCTACTACTGGAGGGAACAACCCTTCCACCCAATCTCCTCCCACGTCTGAACTGGTATCCCCCAATCTTGAGTTGAGTAGCAGAGGGGACTATTGGTATTGGGGCCACTATCTAAACACCCCACTCCCATCCATGTCAACTGGGCCCTCTGGGTCAGATTGGGGGATCACCATTGTGGGGCACTGGAGGCCCATTCTCAAACTGCAGTTCTGTGTTTGGGCAGGATTGTAAGTAAGGGGTTGCCTCGGCTCTCCTGTTTAGTTAATTATTAGTAATAATAATATCTAAATTTCTAGCTCCTATTAACTCAGCAATCATCCCATAAACCTAGACTTCTTGTTGTTATAATTTCTCAAAGCACCCACTATTTGCCTTCATACCACCAATTTGTAATTACAAATTTGTTTACGTGACTTTGGTGGATTCTGCCTTCTCAGCTACTGTAAGCTCCCAAAAAGTGTCTGCTTTCTGCTATGACCCCAGTGCCCGACACTAAGTGTTCTGACACTTAGTAGGTACCTAACAAACTTCTGTCAAATGCACTTATGGATAAATGACTAAAATGGATGGAAAGGAAGAGTGGTGTGAGGATGAAACTTTTTTTTTTAAGATTTATTTTATTTGGGCCTCTCTGGTGGCACAGGAGTTAAAGTGCAGCACTATGAGGATAACTGCAGCCATTGCAGCAGGAGTCTGATCCCCAGCCAGGGAGCTGACCCACATGACATAGCAGACCTCTCCTGTCTAGTCCGCTGCTCCCCTCTAGTGTATTTCAGGCAATCCACCTGTTCTGCTCCCTACTCTGTCTCTGGTGAATCCTTTGACACTCCACTCTGGCCTAGACCCCAGTTCTTGTATGCATAAGTAAATAAATCTTTAAATGTATTATTTATTTTATTTATGCATAAATATAAACAAATCTTTTTAAAAGCTCTATTTTATGCAAGAACTAGGGTCTAGGCCAGAGGAGGTGGGTGGTGTGTAGTGGGGGTGGGGGTAAGAGAATTCACCAGACACAGAGTGGAGAGCAGAATGGGTGGATTGCCTGCAATACACTACTGAAGGGGGTGGGGTGGGGGGTGGGAGGTAGGAGAGGTCTGCTGCATCAGGCAATGTGGGTTAGCACTGTGGTGGGGGTTCAAATGGTTGGTGATAGCTTGATAGCACTGAGACTTTAACCCCTGCACCACCAGGTAGCTCAAGGATGAAACTTTTTTGTAGTCTATCTACAAAGCTGGGTGAAACTGCATCACTGGTGCCCCCTGAGGAGCTAAGAGAGGCTCTGAGAAGAGGCAGCTAAGCCACAGGCCTCTTTACCTACCTGGAGCTCAACTATAGCTTCCTCCATAGGTAGGAAATCAGGGAGCTTAGGTCTCCTCTGGCAACTTCACCCCTACGACCCAGAAGGGCAACCAAACCTCTCCCTCCTCCCACCACTGACCCTCTCAAAAGAGAATTTGGGAAGAACTGCAGTATCTGAACCATTTCAGGGAGGCTGTAGGATGCCACTGTAGACTAAAGTGGCAGGATAGGGCTTTTCCCTGCTTCTATCCACTCACCGTGTGTCTTCTGGACACAAGGTAGCACAGAGAGTAGCACTGCACAGCTACTTCCACTCCTTAGTCCTAATTATTTGGGGTGTGGAAAGGTGGTGTCAGGAGTTCTGGGTTCAGTGTTCTACCACTTTCAGCTGGGAGACTCTGGGAGCACTTAGCTTCTCTAAGTCTCTGTTTCCTTTACTTCTAGAACATTCTACATCTTGCAGTGCTGCTGAAAGATGAAACGAGATCACTTGTGACAGCTATTCCTGCGTGGACACCCAGTGGGCACTTAGCAAAGGGCTCTTCCTGGACTATCATTCCTGCGCTGTCATCGGACAGCTGTGTGAGCATGGGGGACATGGCCTCCCTGGGACTCGGCTTCATCTGTCAAACCAGAGGGTTGAATCAGATCATCTCGAAGGCCCCTTCCAGCTCTGACTTGCTTGGTTCTATTCTGAGCAGGCAGCCCCACCTCTGGGGCAGGGGCAACATGAACATTCTTTCAGCTCAGATTCAACCCAGGCACATGCTTGCCCAGCCCTATCCCTCACATTTAGCCTGTGGCGGTTGCCACACTGGCCGCACCCTTGGCACCACGTTGTTCTCCCACCCCCACCCCACTTGCCAGGCCATAGGTGGGTGGCTCTGTTCTTGCCCGGATCTGAAGGAGCCTGGGAGGACTGAAGAAGAGACAGGGAGAGAAGAGGGAAGGGAAGAGGGGGAGGGGAGAGGCATTGGGTAGAAAAGACAGGGCCTTGAGCCTTGCGGGCTTTCTAGCGGTGTGTGTCCTGGGCCTGCAGCATTAACCTCTTAGGAGAAGGTTTCCTCACTTAGGAAATAATAATGATAACAATTTAAAAAAAAAAACAACCACTGGATTGCGGTGAAGATTACATGGGGGGTGGGGGAGAGCTTGTGAAGTGCCTGACATTCTAAAGTTTTGTTCTCTGGGACTGATAGGGGCACCCTTCCCTCAGACCCCGGGGAGGGGGACGTTCCACCAGGGCCCGTGGGGGCGCTTGGGTGACCATCCTCTGGTCTGCAGTCCTTACCCCGCAACGAGAACATCCTCCCTGAGGGCTGCAGCCTGCGATCTGTCACAGGGTGGTCCCCAGGAAAAGCGGGATTTCATTTGGGGATTCTGGGGTGTCCCTCTCCCAGCGCGTAACAGCTCCAGGGCCCGTGCCGGGAGCCCTAGCGCACAAAGCAATGGGGAAACGCTACAGCGGGAGCCAGTGCCCCCGCCCCCACCCCCACCCGCACCGCTTTTGCCTCCGCACTAGTGTCTTTGATCTGCAACCTTCAGGGGGATTAAGAGCCTGAGAGCCCCGCTCCCCAGGGTCCCCCGCTCCCCGCCGCCCTCCCTCCGGGCTGACCTCCCAG